GCAGTCAGCCAGAATGTACCAACGTCGTCCTAACGTGTCGCTCGCTGCATTTTATGCGGGCGAGGTATCATTTTGCGTTCCCGGAAAGCTCGCGGATATGAAATACCGGCACGAAATATATCGGTGGACGTTGAAAAAAAATTCCATTTTCTTGATTTACGATCTTGATTTACGTCAGGAAAATATCATTTCATTGTCTCGCGGTGTTTTTTTTTTAATTTTTTTATTTTTTTTTTTAAAGATTTTCTGTCGCGAATTAAAGAAAATATTGCGCGTTGAATATTTCAATGAGGGAGGGTTTCGGCCATTGACCGTGCGCGCGCGCGAGGTCTATGCATAAAGAATCATTGAACATACATCGGCGTTTCTTCGTTCGACATATCGCACGCAGCAACGACTTTTCTATTCAACCGTGCAAAGCAATATAAATCGCACGCGTGTGTACGAAATATGATATCGCGCAGATTTGATATTTACGAGCGGAACGATCAAGCCGAAATTTTCTGTGATCAATACCCGTGAGAGCTCGTTTACTACGCGTTCTCGCGCGAGTTCACTTCGGTGTCCCCTGGTGAATTCAAAGTGCTGGAAAACATCCGGGCGCAAGTTTCGCTCGTTTAATTTCGCGTGTTCCTTTTGGATCGAGAAACGCGCGCGCGCGCGCGTGCGCGAGAGCTTATCAGCCGGAACAATTCAATCGCGCCGATGCGATCAACTTTTTTGCGATCACGGATAGGATCGTCACACTTTCTTTCGGGCGAAAATGCGTTCGCGACCGATGATTTTTCATAGAAATTTCTAAACAGTTTTGTGCGATGAGTTGCGTTTCGTATTTTTTCGGATGAACAATTTCTTAAAAAATATTCAACGCGAATTTTCCACAACGAGCGTTTTCGCGCTCGAAATCGGAGAACCAATTACAAAACTCCGGCCGTGAAAACAACGGCGATTCGAGAGTTTTCCCGCGAAAACTCTCGTACGGGAGCGCGCAAGGTTTTCCGCACGTTCGCACGCACACGTTTATAACGCGGGATTTACGAGCGTCGCGATATATCGAGATAGGGATAGGCGTCGAAATGCGTAGCTCGTTTTCGATGACCGATCACCGCTCCGGTGCATCGCGGTCGCTGCAGGCTGCGCTCTACCACCACTTTTCCCCTCACCTTCTCCCCGCCGAACGAAATGCAGTCCGAGCGCATTTCCACCAATTATTCCGCCGGCATATAAACGTTGTCTCTTGTCCCTCACCTCCTCTCTCCATTATCTCTTTCTCTCTTTCTCTGACCCTTCAACTCATATCGACTGTTCTCCCCCCCACCCCCATGACGTAAATTGTATTGTCTATATATCTATAGATTTTTTGTGCAAAGCGCAAAGACTTATGTGTCGTATATACGCCCACACCCCCCCCCCCCNCCAAACTTTGTTCGATTCCATTTCGCCCTCCGTCACTCAACGAATCAACATCAACCGTATATATTGATTGATTATATCTGTACAGCGTGTGTGTGTCGCATGTTATGTGTATATATATATGTACATGAATTTAATGGCCGTTCCGTGTCGTGCGCGGTGTAGGATATGCTTGCATGACTTCTTGTTCGCAACGGCGTAGATGACATCCGCACCCGCGGCATTTTACGCAGAGACTTTCCTCCTCCGCGTTCTTTCTTTTCCCACTCTTGTCCCTCTCTCTTTCGCGCGTCTGTGTGCTTGTTCACACGCGGTGGTGTAATGCTTGAATCCCTTCCCCCTCGCCCGACAAACGGAGAGGATTGAAGCTCGTCGGGAGTGCGATTTCGGTACTGTCGTGAGAAACGATCCTCGATATTTACTCGCGTTTAACGCGCGGAATTCGTTTCCCGCGCGCAAAGACGTCGAGAGAGGTAAACTCGCTAAACACGAGTTTCGATCCTCCCCCCGAATCCGCGGAAGCAGCGTGTGTATGTCGCTTGTAGCCGAAGAGCTGTGTGCGCCAAGAGTACACTACCCTTCTTCCTTTTCGTTCAACTGTGCATTTGTTGACTGTCGCGAACAGCGCGCTCAATATCAGCGTCGTTTTCGAATCTCGGCGTGCCGCTCTTTTTTCTTTCCTGAAGATTCACATTCTCTCAGATGTTTCTCGTCAACGAGGAGAACGACAAACGCCGCGACATGCGCGCAAAAATCGAAAATGACCGATCGGATTTCAATTTTCGCGCAATCATCTCCCGCAACTGTGTCCGCAATGTTTTTACTTTAATTGTATCGCTCCCACTTTGGTAATCAAGAAGCACGAATTAGTGACGATGTCAAACATATATAGCCTATATATATGTGTGTGCGTATGCGTCGTAATTAATTGCAGATTTTATTGTAAATTTACACGCATGCGCCGATTTGTAAAAAAAAAAGCAAATTGATATAATTTAGATAAGCACATTTTCTTTCAATATCGACGCGCTTTTTCACGAAGATAATTCTCTTCGTGTGTTTGCGAAACGGACGACTGATGCGAACACTGTAAATTGACATAAGGTTGTTGTACACATTTGTACACAAACGCGGATAAGCAAACTTGCCCGTCCGAAATTTATATGGGTTTCCAATTTGAATTTTACACACGCGTATGGAATACCGGCGGAAAACTGGCTCATTATCAAATTCGAATAAACCGGGATTTGAGAAAGTATGGGAAGGGGATGAAACCCGTATGTGGTGCGATTGTGTTCCGAGGAACGGGAGAGCGCGATTCCCGCGCTCTTCTTAGCCGTCATTGGCTTGATTAAACGTGTCGGATAAGGGAGCGTTATATATGAAGATTGAATTTAATTAGTTAAGGGTCTGCGGCGGCGCGCACGGCAGCATTGCCGCCACCGCCGTCGCCGCCGCTGCATTTGCATCTCGAGACGTCCATTCCCGATGCATCGCGCAGTAAACCGCGTGTAACCGCCACCGCTTGAATAAAGACCGAACTAAGCTATGAGGCAAAATATACGTGTCGTGGTGAATTATGAGGGGCTAGCTTTACGAGCCCCGCCGCCGCCTCGGCTACACGGTATCCGCCGTAATTTTCGCCGTTGAATTTCACGATACAAGCATCTGTTACCCGTAACCGTTTGCGATCCTCGCTTCGTCGAAATTATTAGGAGTATAATCGAGAGAGAGATTCGCTTCCCTCTCGAGCGTACGGGAGAGACAACGTGAGAAGACGAACGGAATCGGACGACGGAAATCTTTCTCCGTGAAAATATTACGCGCGTAATCGGCTGGAACTCTTTCCCGCGCGCGGATTGCGATTGACTACATCGGAAAATCATTTTCTTTTCTTTTTTTTTTCTTCTTCTTTTTCAATGCCCGACGCAGATTCTCACGTCTTTCGGGTGAGCACTTTTCTCCGAGAGATAAACGCGAAAGTACATCGAGGGCATTGAATTTTTATCAAAAAGTCGTTTTACTCTCGTTATTGTGCTCGGGAATATTGAAAAATAACGTCTTTACGAATAATAACATTCTTCTGCGTCCCCCCTTCAAAGAAATAACATTTGCCGGGTATCGAGAAGCTTTGAGGGAAAAAGCGCGAGAGGGCATGCGAAAATATCCGAAGTATTTCGGGAGAGTTCCTCTCCCTCGGACGGGTTGCGCGCGGTTTGTGTTTTGGCAAGCGCGCGGCCCTTTTGTAAGTGATTAAATGCGAAATTACACACACGCGCACATATGGGGATTGATCTTCTTTCGTCGGAGAGGATTTTTTCGCGTCCACGGTAATCGGCCGTATCCCTATTTGGCCCGAGCTCAAAGAGCAACAGATACATACACTCAGGCCGGGAACGGAACTTGAAAGAAACCGGAAAATCTTCTACGAGGGTATCTCCTGTGTCGTCTCACTTTATTTCCCGTTTCTCTCCCCCCGGTCCTCCCAGGTACACAGAGAGAAACGGGCAATAGGGAAGCGGTTTTCTCCGCGAAGGGGATTTCTTTTAATTACTTTAATGCGATCTTTCTTTCTCTTTCTCACATCGCGCGCGATATATATATATATATGTATCCGCGCGGCGAGCTAACGGATTGTGAAATTTTTTTTTCACGGGTCGACGAACCCTGAATTGAATATTATCCGCGCGAGAAGCAGTCGAGAGCGAAAAAATCTCTCTTATACAGTAAGCGTCTCGGGAGCTAATATTTTTTTATCGTTTGTACAAGAGATTATACAAATGGAGACTGCGGAGATGCTATTGATTTTGTCTCGCGTTGTGCGCGCGCGAAATTCCCCGTTGTATAATATTGGCTGATATTTCATTTATCGCGTACCTTAGAGTTGTCTCGGAGAGACAGGGGATCTTACGAGACTCCCGAGGAAAAATGTCTCTTCTTGGAAAAAAAATTCCTTCCATCGTGAAAATACGCGAGAGCGCGCGACTACTAGGCTTTTCGGATGGCTTTTCGAAAAAGTCGATCTCCCATTATTTTTCTCCGACTTCAGCAGGTGAGCGCGCACCTTATCAAGCGTTCGCCAGCAGCGTTTACCGGGCTAGAGACGCAATTTTTTGAGTTTCGCGCGCGATACGTGTTCCGTATGCGGTTGAAAATAAGCTCTCCTCAATAGGAGAGACGTCTTCACTTTCTTGACCGCTCGCGGAAAGCAATTTTCAGCGGGTAAAAAGAGCCAGTTTTCCGCCTGTCGGCCGCACGTTTTTCCAGGCGCGCTAAGAAACCACGCGCCGTCTCTTGTGTGTTTCGCACCGTTCGAGCCGGATTCTTCCCCGCTTTGCACGCCTTTATCACACAACGTCGATTTGCGAACGACTGTACTTGCATCGTAGACGTACGCACAGACGTGTATACGCGAGCGGAATTGTCTCTCTCTCTCTCTCTCTCTATCTATCTATCTATCTATCAATCTATCTCAGTCTGTGTATGTCTAGTTGCATGCGGCATGGCTCGGCTTCGAGTTACCCTAACGGTATAACCCCGTCCTATGTAGATACGTGCCTGTCTTAATCAAACTTTGACCTTGGTAGCTCGATCTGGTACTCAACTCAGAGGAGGGTGGTGACTTATCCGATTTCATCATGAACGGGGAATGGTACCTCATCGGTGAGTTTCACAGAGCATCAAGTTTACAACTTGTCAGGTTAATCAGAGAATCTGCTTCTCAACATTGACAAGTGTGTTTGTATGTGTGTGTGTGTGTGTGTGTGTGTGTGTGTGCGCGCGTACGCGCTTGCGTGTGTGCCCGTATATTTGCGTCTCTCTGGATAGACCTAAGAATAGATCCTCTTGAATCGACTCGATGCGCGTCGATGAATAGGTTTCTGCAATGGTAATCCGGAAGTAGAACGCTGAGCCGAGCGAAATCGATAGAATTTCGCGAAGCCGCCTCGTGGCTGAGGAGGAATATGAATTCTCGTCCGCTGTTACGTGCGCGGTAAGAGGAATATGAATTCTCATCGATTATCTCTCAATATTTTATCGTTTTCGAGATTGATACGTGTGGTTTCGCGGCGACGTAAAATATAAAGTGTCAGCGATTTTTTTGGACACGTATACCTATCCGATGGTGACACCTTCTGTCTCTCTCGCAGAAAAGTTGGTTGATTGAAACGAAATCAAATTTCAAATCGAAAATCTCTCGATGTCTCGTACGTTGTTTTGACTTTTTTTTTTTTTTTTTCGTCGTCGACCGAAATGACAATCGCGTCGAAAGGAAAAAACGAAGAGGAAGCGATTAGCAGATCCGGGTGGGGGGGCGGGAGGGGAGAGAAGGGAAGAAATCAGTTTGCGCGACGTAATTTGAATTCTCTCTTGACGTCCTCTTCCTGTCGTCCCGGATTAATTCTGCCCCTCCTCCCCCTCCTCCTCCTCCGTTTCTCTCGACACACATGCGCCACGCTAATGCACCTACGTTAATACGTCGCAATTTGCGAATCTGTTTGTACAGCGTGTACATAGTGGGAGCGCGTAGAATGGAGGATGGAATTGCGAATAGAATGCAATAATATATATCGCGCAAAGGGCATAGCTATTACGGGAACTTAACAATTCTATTTTCCATGAACGGTAATTACGCGGTTCTAACTTCGACGGTCGTAATCTTCCCGACTTGTGGTCTGATACGAGGATTGATATCCGAAACGACGCGTACACGTAGTAGCGACAGCGCGGCATCACATTTGCTTGTCCGTTGTCGTTGACAAGTTTTGTCCTTCAAACGGTAGAACAAATGTCAGGCTCATTGTCGGCTCACGTAGTGTGTTTGCAACTCGTCTGACTAGACGCTCTCGGTTATTTTTGACAACGCTCGCAACCGTTGCGATGACCAAAATTCACGAGTTGAGCTTCGAATTGCCGCAATTTCCGATTTTATTTTCTGAATTTGACAACATGTCTCGGTGAAAAGACATTTTCGAGTAGGATGTCGTAAATGATTCCGGACGAGCTGTCGCACAAACACCAGATGCGATAATGAGTCAACGTTTTTTTTTCTTTTTTTGTTTTGACATTCGTTTTTTCGAGAATAATGAAACTTGTGTATCGTCGAAGGAAGCATATCGCGGAAAAAAAACCGTCTCGTTCTTAATTTGCGTCCCGGCTTCTCGAACGTTCTCGGAGATTCCGGAAAACGCAAATTTCGCCCGATGATACGAAACAGCGTCGTCGATGTGTGAAGGAATGTTGATGGAAATCGTTAAGAAAGCGCGCGCACAGCTTCGGGAAACATCTTGCGGCGCTCTCGCCTGAGACGATGCTGCATCGGCGGCGTCGATCTCTCAAAAGAGCTTTAGCGCGAAGTCGCGCGATCGATGTCACGGCTGAACAGAAATTCGACGATTTTACGGGGTCTGCCGCAACGCGGGTATGACAGTTCTCTGTAGGGCACGACACTTTTTGTCGTATTCCATCCTTCTCCTCCTCTCTCCCGTCCTTTCTCCGTGTAGCACAAGTCTCATTTATTGGTACGTGCCGGGTTTTACGACCGCATTCTTCGAGGTCGCGTATCGGAAAGCGCTGCTCTCTCGGCGGTTTCTTCCCAAGATCAGCGAAGTTGCGAGAAGATAAAAATTCGCAAAAATTCCGATCGAAAACATATTCCGAAAAATTCCGAAAAACAAGATACAGGCAGGCGGGAGAAACATGCGCGTAAAAAGCATGTGCCAAAGGTACTACGTACGACAGAAAAATGCAAGATATTTACATTGTATGATGCACTTACAAATTACAAATTGAACGATATTGATCACAGAGAGACTCGAAAATTATTAATATCAACACGAAAAAAAATTTGCAAGAAATTAGTTATGGCCAGCTACAAAAATTGACCAAGTCTGTTGAGATTTCTGTCTGATGGAATCGAAACTCAACAACTTTTTCTTTCTACAAAATTTCTATAACTTGCACAACACAGGCGCACGCTATTATTATTTTCATTTTTAACGTGTTGTATCAGTAAACACAACCTGTCACCGCGATGACAGCTAGTATATACACCTTACGAAACATACATATGAAAGATGTCAGAAATAACGCATGAAAATCAAACTCGAAAAATAGTGAGAGGGAGGAGTGGAAAAACAACACGTGAGACTAAAAAGTCACATGTCAGTCTTTAAAAACGTGATTAACGTAAGGTTACGTGTCTTTAAAACCGTGACTGAAGTAAAGTCACGTGACAGAGAGAAGATGAAAAACAACACGTGACACTTTATTCCCTTTACCCTGTCATGTGACATTAGTCACGTTTATAAAAACGTGACTAAAGTACACTCGCGTGATTTTAGTCACGTGTTGTTTTCCCACTTTTCTCTGTCTCACGTGACTTTACTTTAGTCACGTTTTTAAAGACACGCGAATAAAATAAAGTCACGTGACTTTAGGGGCACGGGTTGGTTTTTCTTTTCTTTTTTTCTATGTTGTTGGAGTTTTATTTTTATGCGTTATTTCTGACATTTCTCATATGTGTAATATATATAGTTTGTACGTCGGTCATACTTTGTTCCATTTCTCTGTTTGTTGGCGAGTACTGTGACATTTCAAACCGGTTTTTCATCTTATCTAGGCAAAAGGAAATGTTTTATGTATGTGTATTTAGATTTTAGTTTTGTTCTTTATTTAGATATTTATCTATATCTATTTATTACATCTCTCATAGTTTCGAGAATTACATGCGAGAGAAACGTCCAATCAGCGTCGAGATAAAAGTGGCTACAATCATTATCGAGAGAATTCAATTGTGATTATTTACACACGCTTTTTCTGGTAGGAATAGCAAATTAAAAAAAAAAAAGCAGCTGTTTTAAAAAGTAGCTGAGAGAACAAAGCGTGTTCGATCGCGACGTACCAAAAAAAAAAAGAGAGATAAAACATGAGAACACGGTTGTCTGTCTCCTCGATCTATTGCGATCGATGAAACGACATATTCAATATCCGCGCACGTGCAGCGGTAAACGAACATCTGTCGTCGACGACTACACAACCGACGACGACGACTACGTGGCGCGTCGCAATTACGAGTGTCGCCTCTAAAGTCGCCGTAGATATTCTCCGAGACACACTAATTATCTCGGGACTGGGACACGTTCGCGCGAGGAAAAAGAATCGCGGAAACGGGGCGCTAGCAACAAGTGACTCTCCCGCGATATCTCGTTCGAAATCGACTCGAGGGTCTGTCCGCGATCTCGTCGGGAAGACTATCAAGAAATCTCTCCCCGTTTGTAAAAGTAATAACATATATATCGAACGGGTTTTCGCGGTCCACGATCGCCCTCTTATCGAGCACCCTTTTCTCGAGCACCCTCTCTCGAGACCGTCGTCGTTTCCACAGGTGCGTCGTATTTAAAGCACGCGAAGAAAGGGTGTGCGAGAGTTTTGTTTTATCGCGAGGCGCGTGTGTCGCTACTTATTCGCCGGTAACTCTCTCGTCGCAACAGGCTGTAACAAAGTCTCCGCGCGTGCCGGAGAGAGAACACGGGAGGAGGAGAAGGGGGTGGGGCTAACACTTTGCAACTCCGTGAGAGATTTTTATTTTTTTTCGTTCTTTGCAACACAGTTTCGAACAGAGGCGCGAAAAGCAACCGTAGAAAAATCGTTACACGAGAAACGTGACTCCGTTCTCACACGAATGTTTCAGCGCGGGAGTTACGCCAACGACGACGTTCGCACGTGGGATCTCTCTCACAAGAAGAGCGTTCACGTATCGCCGAGCGATAAAAAGACGCATGTGTGCGCGCGCGTGTGTGCTTGGATGATAGATAGGACCTTACTTTATACCTTGGGATTCTCAAGTCCCTTCGGGATATAAGTCCCTTCATATATGTAGTGCGAATAGAGTTGGAGGAAATAAGGAACAGATAAAAGACGGAGAGTAATAATAATAATAATAATAATAAAAAAAAAAACTCCCACACGGTAAAACTAGAGAGACGTGGCGAGAGACGCAGATAGGGTGGGACTAGACGGGCGTTTTATTGGCGGGAAAACATTGTTTCCCTCCAACATAAAAGCAGAAGGGTCAAAATACACAGCGAGCAATGAGAAGAATAACAAAAAAAAAAAAAAAAGAGAACGTAAACGACGAGTTAGCGATTCGGTGGGTAATCGCGATCGAAATACGAGAAAGAGAGTTTCGCGCGCGAAACGCATCGATACGTTATTCGTGTAATCCCTCGAAACAGACATGTCGGCGTGTATATCGGTGCTGGCTGTTTTTTTTTCCAGGTATGCCGGGAAAGAAGAACACGATAACGTACGCGTGTTGCCCGGAGCCGTACGTCGACGTCACGTTCACGATACAGATACGCAGAAGAACCCTCTACTACTTTTTCAACCTCATCGTGCCCTGCGTGCTGATATCGAGCATGGCCCTACTGGGCTTCACCCTGCCGCCCGATTCCGGCGAGAAGCTCACCTTAGGTAACGTAACTCGTAGCATGTCTCGCCTTCTTGCACACCAGCTCAGAAACACCAAACCTCTTCCTTTCTTTTTTTTTTTTCGGTTGATTCGTTGGAATTGTTCACTGTTTTTTATACACGATATGTAATATATACACTGACATATTATATATAGAGATCAGCTTAGCGTAGCAGGTTCGTTCATGGAACGTGCGTAGATCTCTCCGAGACACGAGTTTAAGTGTCTCGCAAATGTCCTGATTTTAAATGAATCCTCTCAGTTTTTGTTTTTTGCAAAGTTAAGAAGAGAATTTTTTGTTTCGGACGAAATATATAGATAAGATTTTTGCGTGTTGTAAAATTTTCGAAAGGAAATTAGTTTAAAACACACGAGAGTGTTTTTCTTTTTTTGTTTTCTATACTTATTGCGAATTTTTCTTGCCCGTAGAAACCATTTTTCTAGTTACCTCTAGTTCTCTCACGAGATGCGCATTTATTTTGTTTAATTTTTCTCTAGCGAATGTGACCAATTGATTATAGATCGAGGATCATGCAACGAGAGATCGTTGTCTCGTTGCGGAGAAAGAAATGGCGTTTTACATGTATATATTACATATCCACACACACGCGTGTGTTATCGTCTTTACTTTTCTGTGAGTATACTTTTCCGTTGGTATACATGTATACTTATTTTGTACTCTCGGAGCCACTGCTGACTGTCCTAACTACAAGTTTGTTTCGTTTTCTGACGACGGAAGAAAGTGTATGAGTCTCATTGGACATATATATGTATAAAAAAAAAAAATAAATAAAAAATAAAAAAAAAAACATATATATCGACTCGCACTGATCAATCACGGACGACCGAACGACGTCGCGCGACATTTCTTTTTTTTTCCTCGTCGATTCTCTCACGTAAAACAGCGTGAAATCTATATATACAGCGGGACTCCATTTTCTCTCTTTTTTTTCTCTCACGGACCACACGCACACTTTTTTTTTCCCGACTGTTTTCGTTAAATCGTTCTTTTCGAGGGGGAGGGTTCTCTCGTTATGTCTCGAAAGCTCTCGTTTCCCGGGATATTTATCACCCGACGGAGACGGCGTAGCGCGTATATATATATATATATATGTATATATATATATATATATATATATACATATATATATATACGCTCTTTCGCGTATCGACTAATCGAACATACTTTCGCAATTACCTGACTGGGATATAATAGGAGTTTCTGCGTTATTCCCGTGTGAAATGGAAGAAGACTATTACTCTCTTCGGATAAATTCTTATCCCCGTACTTCTCGGTCTCTATTTCTCTCTGCTTCTTGCCGATTTTTATCGATCTCCGAAGATGATACTACTTACATCGCTGCGTTGTCATCTTTTTTTTTTTTTTTTTTTTTNAAATGAATTCGCTTCCGTCGAACGTGTTCTTCTTCTTCTCATCGTACGATTTGTCGTGAGTGTGTCACAAACCGAGAGAGGAGCTGTCGTCTTCGTGGCAACAAAGAGTTCACGATATAATGCGCATATACTTTTTTCGCTGCGATTTCATCTTTTTTTTTTTTTTTTTTTTTTTACGTGAAAATGAATTCGCTTCCGTCGAACGTGTTCTTCTTCTTCTCATCGTACGATTTGTCGTGAGTGTGTCACAAACCGAGAGAGGAGCTGTCGTCTTCGCGGCGTGGCTGAGAGAAATCTCTCTCTTGCGCGCGCGCGCACTGCGTGACAACACAATTCAATCTTTTTACGCTCTCGCGTAAGATAACGCCATCTTATTATACGGTGTCGATAGCTTGTGGGATGCGCGCGTTGTTGCGCGCGCTGTGCCTCGTAAAATCGCAATGTCTATTGGACGCGCGCGCGCTTGCTTGCTTGCTTGCTCGCTCGCGAGGTCTCTCGCGGGGTTTATACACGTCCCGCATTTACATTTACGACGAAGGGGTCGTTCGAGAAGGAAGAGTGCCGCGTGATTTGAATTTTGGATAGGTCGGGGCAACCCGGTACGTCGTGTTAACCTGTAAGGGCCGCGATGCATGTTACATGGCCGCGCCGCGTATCTCAACATGTATAAACGCCGCCGGCGATGCATATTTCAGGTGCTCGACGGAATAAGCCTCTCTCTCGAACGGCTCCTTTGGTCCTGGCAGCCACCGAGTAGGCCGCACGTGAAATATTACTTTACGTGCTTCTTCTCCTCCCCCTCCCCCTCCCCCTTCCTTCTTCCCAATTCCGTGAGCGCCGAAATGGTCGACGCTATTGGCCGAGTTTGACGTGTGTGGACACACGCGAAAATGACGCGTCAAAGTTCCATAAGCTCCGGTTTTCTTCGTTGCGAGAGGTCACGAATCCAATTCTCCTCAACAATTGAAACAAGTTTCGCCGTGATCGACCGGTGCTAAATTTGTGTTTAAAACCCGAGACGCCAACTTTTCATCGTCCCGATCGTATAAGCTTACCCGAGCGGCTTAAGAGGGTACTGGAGCCTGGCTTGTAAACTGGATAGAGACCTGTAAACCGACGTTTTTATAACCTAAATTTCTTTATTTTTTAATTTTATTTACTGCACAATATTAAAAGCGCTTCTACAGAAGCAAATAAATATACAAAACTATATAAAGCTTTTGAAAATGGGTATATAATGCTTTTTTGAACTTGGTTTTCATTCTTAATGATAGTATATGGTATCAAATACACATCATCACAATATTACTTTTTGTGCATCAATTAGACAACCAAATCATATTCTGAGTGTTTCAGTAGATTGTTTTGTGTCGTACGTATTGCTGTAGTTCAGTGTAAATACGTACATAAACTTAGAAATAATTTTATATACATGAATATATGGTGAGGTTATAGAAGAAAACTGTATAAGAAAAAATTTATTCTGAATTTTGACATTCCAAAGAACAACAGCAAACTCTTAGCATAATTTACTTATTTCTGTAGAAGCATTTTGGATTTGATGCAGTAAATACGGCACAAAACGAAATATTAAAACGTCGATTTACAGGTCTCTATAGTCGGTATCCAGTACCCTCTTAACAGCTTCATTTGGCGCGAGGACTCGCGGGGAATGTCCTCGCGATTTCTAGTTTTAAAACTACGGAATTTTATCGAAAACTTCACGCATGTGTGCGCGCGCGCGCGGATACCGTTCCGTTTAATTTCAAAATTCACGTTAACCGAAGCGTTGAATCGATTAAGGATACCAAGTTATCGGCCGTGAATAATCGACAGATTCATAATTCCACGGTCTGGATGGTGGCTATCAAGCGGGAATTGAATGGTCGTCGTCTGCGTACAGATAACAGTGAGATCCTCAATTATTCAAGGTTACCACTCGGATAGCCACTAGCGACCGCGCGCGCGCGCCATCCTTCATCATCGGTCCTGGTTCGCCTTATGGCAAGAGCGTCGAGTGAAGTGCGTCGTGAAATGACGTTCCGCGCTCTCGTGAATATTCACGGCCGCGCAGACGAGATCCAATCTTTGGCTCTTTCTTTCTCTCTTTTCTCTCTCTCTCTCTCTCTCTCTCTCTCTCTCTTTCTCTCTCTCTTTCTCTCTCTCTTGATTGTAAATCGAGTGGCCGAAATTTTTGACGTCGAAAATAATGGGATTCCTTCCCCCGAGGGAGGGGGCAGAATGTTCGCGCGAAATTTTTCTGTAAGATCGCGCGGAGAAGCACGCCGGGACGAAAACGAGAAACACACTTCGGTTATCTCTCGAGTTTCTCGTTATCTCAATCGATCTTTCGCTTCCGTAGTGGTAGTTTTCTACTTCTCTCTCGTAATCTTCCGGCGCGGCGGTTTTTCGCCTTGTTTTTCTCGTCTCGTGCGGGATCCCTCCCGCTTTTCGATCAGGCTTTCCAAACACACGCGGCGGTACTGATCGTATAATTCCCGTCTTCTTGTATCTGGAGCAATCAACTGGGGAGAGAGAGCTCGATAAAATCGAGCGGGACATCAAAGCGGGCGATATCAGAGAGAAGCGCTTCCGATCGTATCGACTGCGATTGCGAGCAGAGCGCGAACTCGTTTCGCAACTGTGTACTCAGCCGGGTGGCTGGCACGTGACCGCTCATCGTCTGACCGAGAATCGTCAATTTTCTCGCGATACTTTCCTTCTTATCGCGTTCGCGGAGCTAATAACTTTCTTTTCGCTCGAGAAGCGCTCCCCATCTTCCCTACGTTACTTTTCTCGCGGGGATTAGGACGGAAATGCGCGTCTGTAATTGTGATGGATTCGTCGCGAATTTCTTTCGTTTCGCGTTGCGAGTTTCTTCTCGTCTCGTGCCGTTTCTCCTCCATCTGTCATATTTAGGAGAAGTTTTCCCGAAAGCCGCGGCGGCGGCGGCTATTACAGGGCGATATCTCTCTGTGTGCGGGGGATGCCATATTTTCCCATCAATTCGTTCTCGCGAATAATGCCACATCCAAGGGCTTTCGCCCTCTTTTCTTACAGGAAAAAAAAAAACAAGAACACGTAAAGAGAACGAAATCTCTCACATCAACAACAGAAACATATAACATCAGTTATATTCAGACGTTTCATTTTGAATTTGGATATATTTGGATATCTCGTGTCGTACCGGAGAGGAGACGAAGTACAAGATTTTCTACCGGATTTACTTGTTTTTATTTTTTGTTTATATATATTTGTTTATATATATATATTTCTCACATGTGTAAACACAAAATAAAAATATCGACGCGCAACTCTCATCTCGCGCGGGCAGTTTGAGAAGTGACTTTTTTAAGAATCGAATTTACCCGTGGAAAAACGACAACCCCCCGAAATCGATGTCAACGCTCACTCCCGTTGTCGTCGATGTCATCGTTTTCCTCCCCATGTTGCTCTCTCTCTCTCTCTCTCTTTCTCTCTCTCTCTCTCGACGAGCAACATCGGACGGCGTTATGTACAAAAACGAATCGGACATTTTGCGCGCGAAAATATTCTCGGAGCTATATAACTCTCGCGCCTGAGACCGTGAAAATATTTGTTCGGCTCT